AGAACAGAGAGGTCAAGAATGAATTTTCCCACTTTATCCTTTTATTTTAGCTATTATAGTTCCTTTTCCATTCCTCATATATTCTAGAAAAATCTTGTTTATACAAAAAAATCTTACAATTTTTATAGCGATTGTTAAAACTGTGCAGTAATTTGGAGAGAACTGACATCTTTACTGTAGGGAGGCTTCCAATTCATGAGTAAGATATGTCATTTATTGAGTGCCTCCTTCATTTCTTTTATTAGTGTTTTATAATTTTTAGTGTACAAGTTACATACACATTTTGTTAGATTTACACCTTATGATTGCATTTTCTCTTTGACTAATGGTATTGTATTTTTAATTTTGATTTCCATGTGTTTATTGCCGATATATAGAAATGCAACTTTTGTACACCCACCTTGTAGCCTATGACTTTGCTGAACGCACTTGCTCATTTGTGCATTGTTGATTTTAAGTGATTTTTTTAGGTAGATGATCATGTTATCTGATAATGCTTCTTCCTTTCTTAGCTAGACATCTTTAATGCTCTGTTCATCATTTTAAGTCTAGTTTATCTGTTTTTGTGTGTCGAGTAGATTCCAACTTATAATGACCCTAGAGAACTGAACAGAACTGTTCCATAGGGCTTCTAAAACTATAATGTTCACATACACAGACTACTACTTATTTTGGTGGGTCTGAACTGCTGTCTTTAAGGCAAACAGTGAGCACATATCCACTGTGCCACAAGGGCTCCTTCATCCATTGTTAAGATTGAGTGGTTTCCGTCTTCTTATTCTCAAGTTCACTTATTCAGCCTTCCCCGTCTCCACTCAATTATTGAGACCATCAACTGATTTTATTTCAGTTACTGTGCTTTTTGTTCCAAAATTTCTAGTTGTTTCTTCCCATTTAAAAAAAAATCATTTTACTGGGGGCTCGTACAGTTGCTTTGTATTTTTATTTCTTTGCTGGGACATTCTACTTTTTTATTTGTTTCCAATATACACATAATTTTCTGAAGC